CCTCCCTCATCTCCGGTGAGCTCCTCTTCCCTCCTCTCCGGTGAGCTCCTCCTCCCTCCTCTCCTCCCATCCCCTCATGGTTTCTCCTTCCTCCTCTCCGATGCTCTGGCGACGTCCTCCTCCTCTCCGGCGACGTAGGCGAGCGCCTCTGCGGTCACCTCCTCCTCCTCCTCTCTGGCGAACTCCTCTCCAGCAAAAGAACACGGCAAAAGAACGTACAAGATCCAAAAACGGGAATAAAATTTGAAATAATATCATGCAAAAAAAACAAGCTAAAAAAACGAGCAAAAATGGGCAAAAAAATCGCGATCCAGATCCAAATTCAAAATTCAAAAATAGCAATGGCGCACGGTGGGGGTTAGACGCTGCGCCACTACTATTTTCCCGCCTTCAAAATTCAAAAATACTAATGGCGCACCGTGGCCTATACTAATGGAGCACCAGTAGTGCGCCATTAGTAAAAAATACTAGTGGCGTGATACTAATGGCGCACCAGTAGTGCGCCATTAGTAGGCAAAACTGGTGCGCCATTAGTAGGCCTTTTCCTAGTAGTGACACACCATCAACGACTACCACGCACCCACAGGATGCCCGATCAACCGGGAAGAAGTGTTACGGACCACGCCGGACCGAGGACTCCAAGATGATGCCTCCAAGAAAGGCACAACCACGGAATGTCGCCACCGTCTGATCCGAAGATCAAGCTTTCACCCAGAGCTAGAAGGAAGGAGAAGGAGCACCACGACGGAGCCTACAGGGAGGAACACAACGTCCGCGGATGCCATCATCGTCGGCCAGGGTGCGTACTGGGCAATTGATGTACTCCGGTGCTTCAACTCTTTCGTCGCCTCCCCGTTCCGACAGCCACCCACAGCTATGCCACCTGAGCGGCCATAGATGCCCACCCGCATCTGAGCCGTGCAGTCAGCCCATGACCGCCGCATCTCCCACCGCCTGGGCCGCCGCCCTGCCACCAGACCACCGCGAGATCTCCCAAAGGACACGATTTTGACCAAATCCACGCCCCCAACCGCCTCCTGGAGTCGCCGGCGGGCACTGCCTCGAGACGAACCGCGACCTGCCGCTGCCCGTGGAAAAAGGGGAGGTGGGGGAACGACCAATGGCCAATGACGAACCCATCCCCCAACCAGCCCCCCCCCTCCCCGAAACCACCTGTTTCGCCCCTGAAGCCGAAGGTCTGGGCCTGCCGAAGAGCAGCCACTGCCACCTGAAGTCGAGGAAGAGGGATGAGATGGCAGATCTGCTACCACTGCAGCCATGGGAGGCCATCAGGGAGGTCTTCCCACGCCGAGCTCCGTCGTCCAGCCGCAAGGGCCCAACTGGACAAGGGCGCCCACCACCACCGTTGTCGTGCCACCCCCCATCAGAGAGCCATGGCAAGAGGGGCCGCCCGTGACCCAGTCGCACACGACCCGCAGCGCCAGAGGAGGCTCGCTGGTGCTGCCGGGAGGCAACCGCCGCCGAAACCCGCCCGCCAGCCTGCACCACCACGCGCCTTGCCGCCCATCACGCAGCCGCCACCCCACCATCGTCGGCCCCCGCCGGAGCGCCGCTCCGCCCGACATCCAGCGCCGCGTCCGGCATGCGAGATCCAGCCCGCGCCGAGATCCCCACGCGAGGAGATGATGGGAGCCCCACCACCACCGGCGACGACCAGGCTTCGCCCGCTCGCGCCCCTCGACGGCGGGGAGGAAGGGGGAGAGGAGGATGGGAGGAGAAGCGGCGGCACTAGGGTTTCCTCCCGGACGCTCGCAGGAGCGTCGCGGGAGGAGGGGGGTAATTGGCTAATGCCTAATTGCAGCAGGTGGATATTGGGGGCAGGCCATGATGCAAATCGTTTATTTTCAACTCTGGCAGTTGTGACGGTCGGCTTTAGCGTGCGCATCCTGTCTCTCGATTGCAAAGGAAGAGAGAAGATGGGGAGAGGAAAAGAAACAGGCGAAGAACGAGCGGAGGAGAGAACGAGTGGAGGAGATAAGGCTGGAGGAGGAAGCGGCAGATTCGCTCGCGTAGGGACACGTGTCATGCGTCTGACCCGGTTTACACGATGACGTTTTCATCCCGATGTTTTTAAATGTTTTCCTATTTAAAAAGATCTCCGTGCTAGAAAATAGTTCATCACAATCATAATGCATACATAGGAAATACAAACTTCACCCTAAAAATTAAACATAAAATCGACGGTCACTTGTCGACGCCGAGGTAGAACTTGGTGGCGGACTTGCGGAGCACATTGCTGAGGTCGGCCATTTTCTTGGTGGTGGCGAGATGGTCGGCGACACCTTTTTCTCCGGCCGCTAAAGCCTTCTCTGTCGCGACGAGCTCCACATCGGCTTCCCGACACCTCTGGAAATGCGGAAAGAGTTG